TATCCTGTGTTACCTGAAGATAAGAACCTACGTTTATGATTGCCATGTCAACCATAAAAGTGTGTCTGTGCACTTGACACCATGGTTAATGATTGATTTTGTAGTTTGATCTTCTGACCTTCTTCTGCATATCTTGGACACACAGCTGAAGATAAGGGTTGGGGTTGTCTACGCATTAAAATCTGGTATATAAGTGTATATGTGTTGACATATGTTAATTCAGCACTGATTAGGCGTTGAAATTTCAAACTGTAGAATTCAACCATTTATTCATGAACATCTTCAATGTAAGATGTTTATGTAAGTTTGATGGTACAGGTACCATCAGCTGTTGACTGTAAACCAAAATGAACTCCTTTTGTCCTAATACATCTTTGAATTAACATTATTTTTTGCTATCTGGGCAGTGCTTGGAGCAGGTTGAGCCATCACATGCAAACAGAATCAGTTTTATTACTTTAGAATAACAATTCCAACCGTTTCTTAACAGCTGTTGGGCACTTTACTTAAAAAAGTAAGTAGCTATATTTACTAGCTACAAAAACACAAAAAACAGGAAGACTTTCAAGTGAACTCAGAATAAGGACAAGAACTAAAGGGCAATACCAGGTTGATAAACTGAAGCCACTAATATTAAGTCAGCATTCTTGTTGATGGTGAGATGATGCAGCATTATCTTAGAACTACTTTTAACTGATGTGGGTAAAGTCTCTGTTCCTGGACGTGCCAAACAAACCACAGGAACAACCTGCACTATTTCCTCATGTGTCTCCTCTCTGTGTGAGTAACTACTGCATGCTTGAACACCCGCCCACATTATGTCTCCTTAGCCAATCATTATGCCTCTGACTAAGCTCCTGCTTTCTCTCCCTGCAGCAAAGAGAGTGTGGTTATGAAAGCTTGCTATGTTTAATCTATTGAAGTAAAGCATTGTGTGAGATTGCAAGTTACATAACAGTGTTACCAATTTGTGAAAAGTAATTAGTCAGGTTATGGTATTACTAAAGAAAAAAACTCTGTTACTAATACTGGTTTTATGTAATGCCTTTACTTCTAACACTGTTGTTATTTCAATTTCTAATTAGCAAAGAGTAAGAGGCTATTTTACAAAAAAGAAAGAGCATCTTGATCTTGTCTTTATGAGTTTATTCAGAGGCAAAGCAGCATTCAAAGGTACACACTTCAGCCAAAAATCAGTAAAATGAGCCGTCTATGAAGTATGCAGTTCAGTACTGAGAGTGGTGCTGTTCCACCTTCTCATAATATAGTAATGAACTAGGTAAGGCACCCATTTTCTGGAATAGATAATAGGTAAGATTTTCTTATCTAAAATTTACCATACAGTTGTATTTTTCCATCTGAGGAGACTGACAGAGTTTCAAAAAGGGGTAAGGTGAGAGCCTGAAAGGTTTGTTTGATATTTATATCTGGTTTTAGCTTTTTGGAAACTACAAACATCCCAGATAGTTTAGAATGGACTAAGATGGTGATGGTAAAGATCAAGACAGAAAACAGTAAAAAAAAAAAAAAAGGGAAAAAAATGGATAAAATGGATAACTGACATAGGATTCTAGACCCTACAGCTCATCTCTGGCCATGTCAGCATCCAAAGCCTTGAGAGCATCAGTTATATTCCTAGCTGCTTTGATTGCAGATTTAACAGATGACTCCATCCAAGCATGAGGGAGGTCTGTGTGTTCACCAGCAAAGTAAATCCTGCCCTCATTCTTGAAAATAACTTTGGCGTACTCTGAGAGTTGATACGGTGTGAAGAAAGAGAAAGCATCATGGCTGTGAGGGTCCAGAGTCCATTTCTTCACATAAACTCCGGTGCATAGAGACCTGACTTGGTCACCGTGGATCAGTTCCAGGTCTTTCAGAGCTATCTCTTTCAGATTATCGTCGCTCAAACTGGTGAGGAGGATAGAGTCTTCAGCCCAGGTGTAGGAAGCCAGCAGGACACCAATCTTGTCGTTTCCAGGGAAGCTGTGACTCGGGTAGTAAATAAATCTAGAGGGTCGATCAGTAATGCTCTTTCCCCCATGGATGCCTTCTTTCTCCCAGAACTTTTCACTGAAGGTCAGGATCACTTTAGTGGAGCTTGCATAACGGACCAACCTGAGAGCCTCCATCTTGGAGGGACTTAGTGGTGGATCAAAATCAATAAAGAGAGCCGCTTTGGCAGTGGTTGTCACCAAAGCAGCATCAGCTATTAAGTTAGACAGACTTTGTGTTTTCTTATCTTGGTACCACACTGTTACTTTGTTATTTTTTTGGCTTATCTTCTTCACTGGAGCGTTGAAAATGACTGTGTCCTTTTTGAGGGTTCGGTAAAGACCATTGGGGATCAAATCTGTCCCGCCAGTTACCTCACTGTAGCTGGAGATAATAAAAAAAAAAGATTACTGATTTTGATTTGATATTATACAATTGTATAATTGATGAACATTGTATTTTTTTTAATGCATACAGTTAATCTAAACAATTGAATTCTGGTATAATACCACTAATAGCTTATTTGCAATTTTTAGCACTGAGGAAATGTCATGACTGAATTTATTGCACTGCTACCATCTCATCCTGGTACAGTACTGGCAAATACTAAACTCTTGAAATTGACCCACAGTTGTCAACTGTTTGCAGAGGCAGTCTGCAACCAAATGCAGGATTTTAAGCACTTTTATTCATGGAAGTTACTGGAATAACTGAATCAATGATAACATGGAGTGACAAATTACTTTGGCAATATATTTTATTAAAACATATTTGTTAGTGTTTTCATTCTGTAATCATAACCATAAAGCCCCTCCATTGGTTGAAACAGAGAAAATAAATTATAAACTCTCAAATGGCAGATTGTTTAAAGGATTAAGGCTTCTGGTACATTAATGTATACTTTTTCCACAGTGAGCTTTAGTGTTTGATCTTTTCTATCTTTTAGCTATCCCTCATTGGATTCCTCTAAAATCCAAAATAGAATTTAAATGTTTCCTTTTACAGATAAGATAACAATGCCCTGGTGTTATATCAGAGATCTGATTATTTCTTTTGTTTCTAACAGACCTCTTNGATCTTCTCTCCCTCTACTACTAAAGGTTACCCCCTCACATAAAGCCATTTAAGACATCAGCTCTGTCCATTCCTTAAAACAGCAGATTTTCAATGCCTCAGTATTATCCTACATCCAGTTAAGGTTTGCTAAACGTATCCAAAGCCTCGGTCTTCCAGATAGACTAATGTTCCCAGGTTACATACCCAATAAACATAAGGCAGGAGATTTAGACAAATTAAGCTGAAATAGATCATTCAAGAGAATAATAATTCCACCCCAAAACAAAAAGCATATGAACTAAGGTGCCCACTTCTTAATTCATGACATATCCTAACATTTACAACTGAGCTTTGCAGACATCTTTCTTTTTGTATGCTATTGTTGTAACTTTTTTTTTTTTTTTTTTACAGTGTCCTGTCTGGCAACGTGGCAATAAGAATAATTGTCTTGATGCCAAAAAGATCCCAAAAGATTTTACTTTCACAAGTGCAGCAGTACTGCTATCGCCATAGTGTTCTGCTTGATTTATGCATATAAATTGCTTTATTATAATTATGCAGGGATGTTTACAGATTACAGTATATGGACACTGCAATGTAGGTAGAACAGGAAAGGAAAAAAACAGAAGATGAAAGAGAGAGGAGATAAAAGGGAGATAACGATAAAATATTTTCAGTCTGCTTAATCACCTGCAAAGAGATGTAAAAAGAACAGCACAACCAACGGACATGGTACAAGATATACCATAAAGTAACACCTAGATACTATTGCTTAAATATAAGTAGTATTATTTAATCTGAATGTGTATGTATTCTGTGTTACCTGAAGATAAGAACATACGTTTATGATTGCCATGCCAATCATAAAAGTGTGTCTGTGCAATTGACACCATGGTTAATGATAAATTTTGTAGTTTGATCTTTTGACCTTCTTCTGCATATCTTGGACACACAGGTGAAGATAAGGGTTGGGGTTGTCTACGCAATAAAATCTGGTATATATGTGTATATGTGTTGACATATGTTAATTCAGCACTGATTAGGCGTTGAAATTTCAAACTGTAGAATTCAACCATTTATTCATGAACATCTTCAATGTAAGATGTTTATGTAAGTTTGATGGTACAGGTACCATCAGCTGTTGACTGTAAACCAAAATGAACTCCTTTTGTCCTAATACATCTTTGAATTAACATTATTTTTTGCTATCTGGGCAGTGCTTGGAGCAGGTTGAGCCATCACATGCAAACAGAATCAGTTTTATTACTTTAGAATAACAATTCCAACCGTTTCTTAACAGCTGTTGGGCACTTTACTTAAAAAAGTAAGTAGCTATATTTACTAGCTACAAAAACACAAAAAACAGGAAGACTTTCAAGTGAACTCAGAATAAGGACAAGAACTAAAGGGCAATACCAGGTTGATAAACTGAAGCCACTAATATTAAGTCAGCATTCTTGTTGATGGTGAGATGATGCAGCATTATCTTAGAACTACTTTTAACTGATGTGGGTAAAGTCTCTGTTCCTGGACGTGCCAAACAAACCACAGGAACAACCTGCACTATTTCCTCATGTGTCTCCTCTCTGTGTGAGTAACTACTGCATGCTTGAACACCCGCCCACATTATGTCTCCTTAGCCAATCATTATGCCTCTGACTAAGCTCCTGCTTTCTCTCCCTGCAGCAAAGAGAGTGTGGTTATGAAAGCTTGCTATGTTTAATCTATTGAAGTAAAGCATTGTGTGAGATTGCAAGTTACATAACAGTGTTACCAATTTGTGAAAAGTAATTAGTCAGGTTATGGTATTACTAAAGAAAAAAACTCTGTTACTAATACTGGTTTTATGTAATGCCTTTACTTCTAACACTGTTGTTATTTCAATTTCTAATTAGCAAAGAGTAAGAGGCTATTTTACAAAAAAGAAAGAGCATCTTGATCTTGTCTTTATGAGTTTATTCAGAGGCAAAGCAGCATTCAAAGGTACACACTTCAGCCAAAAATCAGTAAAATGAGCCGTCTATGAAGTATGCAGTTCAGTACTGAGAGTGGTGCTGTTCCACCTTCTCATAATATAGTAATGAACTAGGTAAGGCACCCATTTTCTGGAATAGATAATAGGTAAGATTTTCTTATCTAAAATTTACCATACAGTTGTATTTTTCCATCTGAGGAGACTGACAGAGTTTCAAAAAGGGGTAAGGTGAGAGCCTGAAAGGTTTGTTTGATATTTATATCTGGTTTTAGCTTTTTGGAAACTACAAACATCCCAGATAGTTTAGAATGGACTAAGATGGTGATGGTAAAGATCAAGACAGAAAACAGTAAAAAAAAAAAAAAAGGGAAAAAAATGGATAAAATGGATAACTGACATAGGATTCTAGACCCTACAGCTCATCTCTGGCCATGTCAGCATCCAAAGCCTTGAGAGCATCAGTTATATTCCTAGCTGCTTTGATTGCAGATTTAACAGATGACTCCATCCAAGCATGAGGGAGGTCTGTGTGTTCACCAGCAAAGTAAATCCTGCCCTCATTCTTGAAAATAACTTTGGCGTACTCTGAGAGTTGATACGGTGTGAAGAAAGAGAAAGCATCATGGCTGTGAGGGTCCAGAGTCCATTTCTTCACATAAACTCCGGTGCATAGAGACCTGACTTGGTCACCGTGGATCAGTTCCAGGTCTTTCAGAGCTATCTCTTTCAGATTATCGTCGCTCAAACTGGTGAGGAGGATAGAGTCTTCAGCCCAGGTGTAGGAAGCCAGCAGGACACCAATCTTGTCGTTTCCAGGGAAGCTGTGACTCGGGTAGTAAATAAATCTAGAGGGTCGATCAGTAATGCTCTTTCCCCCATGGATGCCTTCTTTCTCCCAGAACTTTTCACTGAAGGTCAGGATCACTTTAGTGGAGCTTGCATAACGGACCAACCTGAGAGCCTCCATCTTGGAGGGACTCAGTGGTGGATCAAAATCAATAAAGAGAGCCGCTTTGGCAGTGGTTGTCACCAAAGCAGCATCAGCTATTAAGTTAGACAGACTTTGTGTTTTCTTATCTTGGTACCACACTGTTACTTTGTTATTTTTTTGGCTTATCTTCTTCACTGGAGCGTTGAAAATGACTGTGTCCTTTTTGAGGGTTCGGTAAAGACCATTGGGGATCAAATCTGTCCCGCCAGTTACCTCACTGTAGCTGGAGATAATAAAAAAAAAAGATTACTGATTTTGATTTGATATTATACAATTGTATAATTGATGAACATTGTATTTTTTTTAATGCATACAGTTAATCTAAACAATTGAATTCTGGTATAATACCACTAATAGCTTATTTGCAATTTTTAGCACTGAGGAAATGTCATGACTGAATTTATTGCACTGCTACCATCTCATCCTGGTACAGTACTGGCAAATACTAAACTCTTGAAATTGACCCACAGTTGTCAACTGTTTGCAGAGGCAGTCTGCAACCAAATGCAGGATTTTAAGCACTTTTATTCATGGAAGTTACTGGAATAACTGAATCAATGATAACATGGAGTGACAAATTACTTTGGCAATATATTTTATTAAAACATATTTGTTAGTGTTTTCATTCTGTAATCATAACCATAAAGCCCCTCCATTGGTTGAAACAGAGAAAATAAATTATAAACTCTCAAATGGCAGATTGTTTAAAGGATTAAGGCTTCTGGTACATTAATGTATACTTTTTCCACAGTGAGCTTTAGTGTTTGATCTTTTCTATCTTTTAGCTATCCCTCATTGGATTCCTCTAAAATCCAAAATAGAATTTAAATGTTTCCTTTTACAGATAAGATAACAATGCCCTGGTGTTATATCAGAGATCTGATTATTTCTTTTGTTTCTAACAGACCTCTTCACTCTCAGTCTGCAGGTTCAATGGAATTTCTAAAAGTAGAATGGGGCAGATCTCTTACGACCATTTACACATCACACTAGCACAGTTCCCCCCCTCCTAATGACGATCTACAATACTATTGCTCTCTAGAGGGATTCAAACAAAAAACATGGCGCCCGTAACATTTAGGAAGTTTGGTTATAACTGTGATATTTCTTGTTTGCGGAGAGTCAAGCGAAGAAGGCAGCCTTTGGTGAATTTACTTGACAGAGTCGGCTTTTGGGAAGTGGATATGACAATAAATAGTCTAATCCAGGCCTACAGACGCAGGAAGCAACGACAGACATTGAGGTTCATCACACTGCTAAGCAGAATCATCACTGGAAATCGTCTGGAACGGTAGAGAAGCTAATAATTTTATGAATGCCTGAAATTTCACGATTAGAGAGACTGACTGTAAGGAGATGACGAGCCTCAACTGAACCATGCTGAGCCCTACTGTTGAACTAGTACTAGTTTAGAGCGGTTCGGTTGTGTACCATTTACATTCAACAGTTATCTCGGTTACCGTGCTCGGACAACTCTTAGCACCGATTCAAAAGGGTAGTGTAAATGGGATAATAGATACAAGAAGGGCTCAGCTTTTCCTGTGACCAAATGCATGTGCTCTCTCTCATTCTTTTTTTTTAGTTCATTTTTTTTTTTTTGTTACACAAAAACTACCTTAAAGTGCATCTATTTAACTGTTTCTCTTCTAGAGGGACCCACTTAGCAAAATAGTTTCCTGTTACCTTTTCCAACATAAAAAGTTTTTATGAATAAGTGTGTCTATTTTCCTGTTGTGTGTCTTTCTTGGCAAACGGCCTCTCACACTTAACCTGATTCTGCATGCTAAGTGCGTGGGACTGCTGCAGAATCAACAACTCTATGTCTATTGTCTTTGCAGGCTCATCTAGGAAGAGTAAATTCTGCAAAGAAAAGACTCAATGATATCAACTAGGTTTCCTTAACACAATTTTTCTGTATGATTTTATTGAATTATCTATGTAAAATGTCTTAAAATTACATGTGTAGATTATTGGTGTTGTATCAAAAAACTGAATTTAATTGAAACTTACTTCACAGTGTCATTGATACCATTCTCGAGGTAAATCATCTCAAGCACAGACTTGGACATGATGCTGTTTTCATTCAGCAAGTCCCCCATCATCCTAATGGCCTCTGAACTCAAATGGGTTTCCTCTTGCAGATATTCCTGTTTACACAAACATGCCCTCACCCATAAGTTAATACAAAATAATGTCTAGCAACATTAAATACAGTAAAATACTTACCCTGACAGAGTAACGATCAAATTTCTCTATCGTTGCTTTACACCCATTCATTTTTACTTCATTTTTCAACTAGAAAAAGCAGAATTTGGATCAAAGTACGTGTTTTTTCTAACTAACCCATACACAACAAACATGTGAAATAATGTACACAAAACAATGAATTAGTATAAGTGTGTTTCTGTAAACAATCAAAGTAATTTATTGAAAAGTTTGGGGATGTAAATTGCCAGCAGATTTCTCATTTACCTTTTGTAATGCTTCTTCATACAAATCACTGGGGCGATTTATTCCTCTCATTAGGTGGTAGATTATAATTCAGGATGTTTGGGTTTTTAATCACATCTGAATTCTGGAACCCTCATGGCCCCATAATCCACATACCAACCCTCTTCTT